ATCACATCTATGTGTTCGAGGGCCAGCGATTCAGCCCTCGGGAGCTGAGACGGACAGCGCTGGAGCGTTTAGAGCTCAGAGACGTCAGTGGACGGACCGTCTTCGACACGGCTCGGTGGCGAGTGGGAAGCCTGGAGGCGCCTAGCGACGTGCTGTTCAAGACCTGGTTCCCGAACGCCTTGACGAAGCTTCGGCGGATGGTGGCGGACGATTCGGCGGTCCGAGCAGGATGGATGGCGGTCGCCTGGGCAGAGGAGGACGTGGTGGCGGCGGTCTGCCTCGCGCTGGGATACAGCTGCATCTCGCTGGTGTATAGCGTCACAGAACAGGCGTTGATGACGCAGTTCCTGTGGAACCCGGTGGCTTCAACGACTGCCGATGCCTTCCACTGCCAGTCGAGGGCGTTCTGTCCGTCGACCACCCTGACTGTGCTGAACTACGAGAACACACACTTCGACTACTTGAAGTGGAGTGCCCCGGCTCCTGTATCGTCGACTCGCAGCGTAGGAGTCGGGCAGTCAGTGGGGAGCGGCATGACGGTCGGCGGGGGGAGCGGCGAGCCGAGCACGTCGGGAATGGGACAGAGCAGCACGATGAACGACGGTGAAACGAAGGAGACGCACCCAGCCGTGTCGGTTGAGAGTGGCGCCGAGGCAGGCAAGATGGATACGTCGCCCGATGAGCCAGGTGTGGAAAGAGAGAAGGGGCGAGATGGTGGCTGGGGCATGCATGCATGAACGATGTGTGTGCTCATGGTTGCTGGGTAGGTCGTGTCGAGATCTGTTCCGTGTCTGTCCATCTATTTGCGCAAGCACTCGTGTATGAGTACAAGGTGATGGTGAAGATGAACGCGGGTGTGGCGACACTCTTATGGGATCGGGAGGCGGGCGCGTTCTGTGTGAGGGCCGGGGGTCCAGCGAGGGTGTTTCGAGCCGTCCAGCCGCAGCGGGCAGACATACATTCGGCGTTCGAGGTTGCCAGAACAGCTTACGAGGCGTCGTTCGCCAGACTCACCGGGCAGTCACCGATCGCTGCGCTGCAGGAGGATAGCGGCGCCGAGCTGGACGAAGGAGAGACGAAGCGGCTGGCTGAGGGCCTCATCCGGAGCGAGCTCATGTATCCCGGCGTGCGCATGGCAGAGAACTGCTGGAGCGACGGCTTCTCCTGTGAGCTGTGCTCAATGAGGTGGACCGTAATGAGAAAGAGCGAGGGGTACTGCTTCATGCTCGCGCTGGTGCTTCCGGACCGAAGAGTGGAGAAGCACTGGCTACGGCCTTTCACCGGAGCGTTGGGCAGCATGGCAGCGCCAAGTCAGAAAGGCTTTCGCAGGGGGGCGGTCCGTGGTGCGTTCCTCGCCTTGCTGGACCAGAAGCGGCTCTTCATGCAGGCTCACTACCCAGGTAGGTGTGGTGGTGAGCCCAACGGCACATGCCAGCTGTGATTGTGTGCTGTGGTGGTGCAGACAGCTGGAAATGTAATCAGCCCCTGCTGGACCCCTCGCGCACCTTTCCGAAGCAACTTTGGCTCGGTCCTCGAGTGCAATGCCAGCACTGCAAGGCGTGGGTGTGGAAGAGCGAGGGGAGCTCATTCTGCTGCGAAGGTGGCCGGGCAGTGCTTGAGCCTCTGCCGTGGGCGAACGACTTCAAGGCGCTGATGTCGGATCCTACCTTTGGGCCTGAGCTGCGGAAGAACAGCCGGTGGTACAACAACACGTTCTCGATGACGGCGATGGGCTTTCACGCGCGCTCCAGCGTGGCCCTGTCGTTTCCTCCCGGCTTCAGTGAGGTGCAGATGTGTGGACGCGTGTACCACCGCGTGCTGTCGGCGGAAGAGCAGCCTCTGGTGTGGATGGTCTACGAGACTCCTCGGGCGGACGAGGAGCGCACCAAGCGCATCAAGACGATAGCTGGAGTGGAGGGGGCGACAAAGGGGAGGAGTCAGCGGGTGTTGATGGTCCAGCAGCTGGTCGATCGGCTGCATCTGATGCTGCTCAAGGAGAACCCGTTCGTTCGGCAGCTGCGCATGTTCGGCGAGATTGCGCAAGCGGAGGGCTGTCAGGTCGTCCTGGAGTTCCAGTACAGGCCACATCCAGACGAGGTCTGCGTGCTGCTGCCGGACTCCCCTGCCTATGACCCGTGCGAGCGGCTCGTGTGCATCCGTCCCTACAGACGGACCACCACCGGCCACGACGAAGACTTCGTTGACTGCAAGAGCCCGGCCTACGAGTCGCTGCAGTACCCGCTCATTTTCCAGAAGGGGTGGCTGGGCTGGTGTCCGTCGATGCCTCTGTCGTCCAGGTAAGTGGGGAGCGACGGGAAGGCGGACGGTTCGATTTGTTGGGTGAATGGTCGTGTCGGTGTGCTGTGTGTGGCGGCAGGACGGGCAACGATTACTTCGACGACGTGGAGCTCGACCAGGTTATCAATCGACGTTTCTACACCCGGGCGTTTCGCGAGGACGACATCACGAGCGGTGAGCTGAAGCCCAGCGATAAGTACTGGACCTCGATGCGCTACGCGCGTCAGCGGCTGCTCAAGGAGCCCCTCGTGCACCTCATGCCCCGCCTCGGCCAGGAGTACCTGATCGATCTGTGCGCGCGAATGGAGGACGAGCGGCTCCAGTACCACCGTCGGCACCAGCTGCGGCTTTGCACGCTGTCTGAGCTGGAGAGGCAGCAGCATCCCCTGACGCGGCAGCTGCAGGAGGAGCTCGCCTCGGAGGGGATCGACTTCGAGTCGCAACCCAAGGCCGGCTATATCTACATGCCTGGCAGCTTCCTGGGCGGGCCTCGCTACTTTCGGTGGCGTCTGCGCGACGCCCTGGCGCTAGCGGGCAAGTTCGGCAAACCGTCTCTGTTCATCACGATGACGTGCAACGACAAGTGGGACGAGATCGTCAATGCGATTGAGCCAGGTACGTGTGGAGACACAGAAACGGCGGCTACGCGGATGTGTACGTATACATGTGTGTGTGATGTGGGTGCTTCTGTGTGCGTTTGCAGGCCAGACCGCCTACGACCGTCCCGACATCTCATCTCGCGTGTTCTATGAGAAGCAGAAGGCGCTGCTTTCCCGCTCGCAGGGGGACAGAGGATCAGCGAATGGACAGGAAACCGTCCGCCTCCCTGCCCCTCTCCCACCCGCCCGTCCTGCCTTCCCCCTGTATGTACGTGTCTGTCTCTCTCTGGTTACCTGCACGACGGGAATCATCTTGAACGCCTTGGTCATGTCGATCTCGCTCATCTTGGTGGCCGCGTTGAGGAAGATGTGTTCTCTGGCGTGCGGGCCGTGGCTGGCGATGTTCTTGATGTCCTCGGCGGTGATCTTCTCCTCGTTCTTG